TTTGGAAATTGTTTGGGTGTAAACATTTCACAAATATTTATTTCCATAAATCTCTAAATGCTTTAATTGCAAGGGAGTGTAAAACGGAAATCCCTTATTCCACTTCATCACCTACCCTTAACAATAGCTAACACTCGACACGTCAGCTTTAGAAATTCTTTAAAGGTTTAAAGCTTTCGTTTTTAAGAAATGATACCGTTATTTCGGTGAGATGATTAAGATTTTGTGACACAAATTTCGTTTGGTGTAGATGTCTCCTGCCATTCTTCGAACCTTTGGAGATTAAATTATTTCCAGAAGAAAATGCAAAAATAAATTACCTACCTTAACGCGATAGGACATCACTTGGCCGTTTCAAAGGTTATTTTTCATTGTGATTCTCAGCTCTTCGCTCGCCTTATATACGTTTCTATTTTCAAAATCCGGTCCGGTCGAGAGGAATATCTTTTGAGACGATCAGAGCAAAATTATGCTTTGTTCCTTTTCGATAAAACTTCCTCGACAGCCTTAAAGACTTCCAAGTCGGCTAATTTTTTTTTTTTTTTCGAAGTGTCACTCTAGTCACTTTTTTGTTACTCAATTTATGGGAACTTACATTCAACACAAATAATTAAATATTGCCGTTTTCTTGAAATAACCAAGGTAAGCTCCTGGCATTGAAATTAAATCGAATCTGATAGACATAGCTTAATTTTAGCAACACTGAATATTTTATTCTTGTTCTTCAAGTTTTGTTTGATATAACTACAAATGGGCTTTGCCGATGCAGACATAACTGGCTCCCTAATTTGTCAGTAGGAGGAGGACAAATTTCTGTTTGTTCAGGGATCACTGATTTGTGTTCCGTTTACCCCAAATAACAGTGAGTTTAACGATATCCTCGTTATTCCTTCCAGCAAAAACACCTCAACGTTCCGTTCTTGTGTGACTTTTATCTATTAGACATTTGAGCACTTTCAGCAAAATGGTATTAAATAGGCATCACTATGACAAATTTAACACAGGCCGCTGGATTTGAGTAATAAAAACTGGCTTTGAATCATGAACGCGATATGATTAAATCCAGGAGAGGAGAAAGGCTACGAATTTAACACGCACATTGGGCACGTTGTGCGGCATCAGTTCTTTTACTATTACACCTTCCATACTGGGTGGTTAGAATAAATTCAGGGTTTTAATCAATTCTTCAAAGATAGTTACTAAGGAAGCTTGATCCTTAAACTAAACAACGGAAGTCCTTTTTCAGATTTCCTCAAGGAAAAAGCGCTTGACGCTGTTACAAAATGTCGTTTGTTATTGTTTACATTATGTTTGTGTGTCAAGGATGCGTTACCACTGCATACATTAATAGAACACGCGGAAGTGTGTACATGGTTTACGAAATTTCACGGCAAAAAAAAAAAACTAGCGTTCACCGTCGACTAAAACGGAAAACGCGGCATTTTACAAACGTTTACCCATGTTTTGCGTACGAAAAATCCGACGTGTTCTGTGCGTTTTCGCATCGGTGAATCCCAGTGTTCGTTCCACTGTGCGGTAGTTTTCCTTCGCGGTAAATGCAGGTAAACAAATCATTTTCCGGCATTAACCGCTCAGTTAACGCACTGCAAACAGCTTGTTTTCCTTTTGTTTATTGGCATTTTCCCAGTGTACAACAAAGTATTCACCGCAAAAAAAAAAGCATTTTCCTGGAAGATTAATATGTGTAAATGCAGGAAAACGTAATGATTTCCTGTGTTTGCCGTTCTTACAACGCGTAGAAAATGTTATGTTTTCTTTTGTTCGGAACCATTTTTGCACGGTTAACGAAACGTTCACAAGAGTTTTCCAGTCGAAAGCATGCATTTTCCAACATTTCTTCCCAATGGTGAATTCGAGCAAATTCGATGAAACGCATTTTCTGGCGTTTTACCGTTTATTACTGTTCGGTTATCCCATGGAAAATAACAGTTATTCTGCCATTCACAGCCGTTTTGCGCATTCCAACTTCATATTCACTAGAGTTAACCAGTCGAAAACATGCATTTTCCGGTATTTTCTCTGCAACGGTGAACTCGAATTAATTCGTGCAAGGCATGGTTTTTCTCGCGTGTACCGCCGCTCGGTTATTATATGATATGAGTTCAGTTACAAGGCGAGAAGTATCCAGGTTATTCAATGTATAAATGAAAATGAACCATAATTTTGAAGGTTTAAAAATGCGTTACAGACTGGGTGCGAATCTTTGACAAAATACCGCTAGTTATTGACGCGTCACCACACTTATGACAAAGCTCTGTCCACAACGACTCTCCATTAGTCTGTGTCACTCACCGGAGGATTTTACCGGAGGATTCAAATGATATTTTTGAGATTAAAGCGGCATAACTTTTCGGTTTTACGAACAGAAAGAGGAGAAAAACAAAGGCTACAATAAATAATCCTATGGTCAGATAACTTGTACCCTGAAGCAAAAGTAGGCGTCAGTTCTTTTACTATTAGACGTTTGCGTGGAAGAGAACTGGTTTCATTCAATTGTTTATAATCCTAAAACTGAGAAAACAAAGGATATCCTGGTTATGGATATCCATACACAACACCACTTCAGGCCATCAAATAGTGATGGTAGTCATCATGAAATTCCTTGTTTACTTAACATCGTGTATGCCCTCAGTCGCTTGTAAGAGATCAGAAGCAATGACTTACATGTATCGTCAACGCGCGATATTCTCTGAGTTGTACAGTGATATAATTTGGCTTAGATTTTGACGCTCCGAGCAGACATGACTTGGTCCATAGAGAAAAAAGTCTAGATATTTAGGCTGCGAGCCAGTAACAAAATGTCATGAGTTGTAGACATGTTCCCGGCTTTGCTATGTCTCAGAGTTTATCCCCAAAATACGTCATCAGGCTAAGTCAGATGGTATTTTGACATTAAACCCCATTAAAATCATTACACAAGATCGCTATTGGACTTTTAGCGCTCAAGTGACTCAATGTACTCACGCAAGGTTTCATCATAAGGAGGAAAGTTTGAGCTCAGATAGGAAAGACTGTTACAGTTTATAAGTGCATATTTGGGAGCATCGCAAAATTCAATTAGTAAGATCTGCAATGAACATGTTACACGGCAGCTTTGGAATACCGTTACCCTTATTTATATCCCTGGAGCCTTAAAATCGATCTACTGTGCACTGCGCCAATAAATTTTCAATCCACTGAGGGCGATTTTCTGTAAACAGAATGAACAATGTGGAGAAACTAAAAAAGGAAAGTTCACAAAGCAAACGGCAGGGCAGAAATCTAACATTAATTTCCGGATATTAGGGATCTACTGCAACTCGAATTCGAACAAACCAAGAGAAACTTCACACGATTTACTTTCACTCGTCTTTTGTACTTCACCATACCGTGAAGAGAGCTAATCATCTCATTTATTTAACAAATTAAATAAAAACATTTTGTTGAATACGAAAATATCAACATGATCATCAAACCATTCGCTCAACTTTTTTGCTTTCATAGACGTTGATGTAGTAAGCTTATTCCTCTATGTTACAAATATTTATGCACTGCTAAAAAGCTATACGTATGTACAATTTTTATTACTTCTAAAGACCAGATGTCATTTCTAAAAGTCGCTTTCAATTAACTTTTTATTTGCATTTGCAATCCGTGACTAATACTTTTCCACACGCATCAAAGTACTCTCTTATTTCTTCGCAATCTGGCGAAGCTCTGGGTCCATTGTTGCAACCCCAGCTTGTCTTCCTACAGGTAACCGTCTTCACCTGATCGTCACCACAAGGTTCCACTTTTTGAGAGCCTCTGAGGACACATGAATGAATATCGCGATCGCGAGTGACTCGATGGTGGAATAAACTAAAGTAGTTCTTCTTGCTTCTGTTACGACGTAACGCATTTCGTTCTTCAATTGCGTTACCAGTCTGATCACTGTCACGATAGGCGAAGTCTTCATTCTGCTGAGCGAGGCCGTCGAACGGAAATGGAGCAATCCTTACCACATGAATGAGAAGTAGGCAAAATAGGGCGATGATAGTCGAAATCTGCTTACAAAACAACAGAAGAATGCAGCAGAAAAGTGAGTACCTCAATGTGTGGGCAGGTCTCGCCCCTGGCGCTCTCCTTGCGTTTACCCTCGCTCGCCTGAAAAACTCATATAAATGGCGCCTGTGCAGCAAGATAGTTATCCCTGCTACGTCCGAAGCCAAGAAAATATGTTTAGCGAATCGCGCGGTCACAAATACGTGTGTAGAATATTTCCAAAAGAGTTTGAAAATGTTTCTGTTTTCTTTGAATTGGTTATTCAATAGACTAACTTTCACAATAAAAAAAGAGGTATAATTGTTTTAGAATTCAGCATTATTCATTGATCTTTAAAGCTTTGATGGTAAGCAGGTGTAATACGAAAATCGCTCATTCCACTCCATAAGCTATATTGGTCCTTAACCAATCAAGAAGAAGATATCTTGTTGAATATACAATATGCGATTCCTTCTCTACGCCTTTCGCGTCGTTTAGACGCATCGTGGACCCACTTTTAGCGAAAGGAATCATGGATATCAATTATACCAGAGATGGTTATAAGAGAAAAGGAGTCAAACACTAAAAGGTAGCGTTTGAAAAATTTTCACACATCGATCTCGACGAAGTCGATTTCAATCAATGTAAATTTAATCTAGAGCTATCCTCTCTTCCCCTTCTGGGGAGGTCGTAACGCTTTCAAACTTTTCAAACTTAAAAAATTGTTCTTTGGAGGTTTAAGGCTATCGCCCTTTTAGGGATGATACCAGGTAATACTGAGACACGAATTTCATTTGGCTAGATGCCTAAACTTAGTAGATATATGTCTCACATTAGTTTTCAAAGCCTTTGAAACATTAGCGGACTATATCCAGAAGAAAATGCCAAAACAAATTTACCTTGACATGATAGGCCATCACTTCACCAGTAAAGTCTGCAAAAAATCTTCTTGATCTAAACAAAAACCTTTAGAAAAGTAGTTTTTCATTGTGATTTTCAGCTCTTCGTTCTCCTTATATACGTTTTCGTTTCCAGAACCCGGCCTGCTCAAATTTCAAGGAATATTATTGTTTGCAATTTGAGGAAATTTCATCCATGTTCCCTTTTATAATTAACTTCCTCGACAGCCTAGAAAGCAACCTAGTAACAAGGCTAATTTTTTACGGAATCATTCTCACATAAACTTTTCGAAAGTGGAGCAAATGACATTGAACACAAACGATAAGATATCTACCACATATTTTTTTCTTTTAACGTTTGTGTGCCAACGATGCGTTACGAATAATTATATATATAGAATACGCGGAAATGGGGACTTGAGTCATGAAATTCCTTGTTTACTCAACCCTATTCCCGTATGTTCGTAGATCAGAAGCAGTGACTTATCCTCAGTCAGGCGGTGTTTAACGTAATGCGCGATGATAAATATCAGGGCGAAATAACACAAGCTATACATTCAGTAATGTTTTTGAGGCTCTAAGCAAATAAAACTTGATCAAAAAAGAGGTCGAGATACTCAGGGTGCGAGCCAACTTTAAATACCATAAGTTGTGGACATGTTCCTTTCTCTTATCTTAAAGTTTTATCTACAAATATACGTCATCAGGCTATGTAATGAAGTGTTTTGAAAATAAAGCCCGACATTATCAGCAGACGAGATGTGCCCTCACACTAATAGACTTTAAACACTGGAATGACGACAAAAAACAAATGAAGTTTATTGAATGATAAAAGGAAAGGAAAGGAAATCCTGTTTATTTGTCTAAAAGATTACAAATTACAGAGTGCAATAAATATATATCGTGAATCATCGCCAAAAATACACCAAAGCTTCGCTCGCTGCTGAATTACGAATAAAGCTCAAAAATTCTCGCTCAGAAATACCACATCCTAGCTCATTCCATTCAGAAAAAAAGGCAAAATATTAGTAAAGAAGGAAAAAGTTGAGGATACATGGATGTCAGATACTCACAAACTGAACAAGTCCAAACGTTTTATGTTGACCGATGTGAAGAAGAAAGATCTGGATTAGGACATTTGACGTAAATATTGAAGCAGCGTTGTCATGACGGCTTTAGCTAAGATAGGAAAGAAAGTATAGGTTTTAAGTGCGTATATAGTGACACTAAACCACTCAGTACATTAAGTAAGCTTGCAATGTATATGTTACTCGGCAGCTTTGAAATTTCCCTTATCCCTGAGGCCTTAAAATCGAATAACGTCCAAGATCACTGATCTTTGTAACGATTCATTTTTGGCCAACTTAGCTCGGAACACTCGTTTGGCAAAGGGGATGGCAGAGATCAGTCGCTTACTTTCGGATGCCGAGGATCTACAGCAACTGAACCTCGAAAAACCAGGAGAAACTTCACAAGATTTGCTCTCACTCGTCTTAAATACTTCACCATACTCTCGAATATGAGTCAATGTATACCGAAGTTTCAGTTTCAAGCTACTAGGCGGTTAGATCTCATGACGGCGACGCCTGGGAAAACGTCGCCAAAAAACGAACTTTCGCGAAACGAAGATTTTCGTAACTAACAGAGCATCATCATGTCCAAGCCCGCGCCTGATGTAGAAAAAGCTCGTGAATAAGAGTAACATCACAAAAAAATCGCCAGATGTTGAACTTATGAAAGTAATTTTCAATTAATGTCGGAGTAACAGTTGATCGTACAGTTGAAACTCCGGGTAAGAGTTATTCTCGATTTCCGCCGTTTCTTGAATCAGGTCTTCGCTCCTCTCGAGAAGGAACAAGCTCGGAGAAGAGCACAGGCTCGTTTCTCGGACAGCGGTTGGTAATCGAGCCTAAATGAGAGTAGGTTTTAACCCTTCAGCCCCTGAGAGTGACTAATATAGCATCTAATTTCTCCTTACAATATCACCCCTGAAACAAAAATGAAAGTCATGAGAATAGAGGAGATGATCACCAACTTTAGCAGCTCTTGATTGTTAAACAAAATTCTCCTTGTCAGCCTCTTTTGAAATTTATGGAGAACAGTAAGGAGAGTATGCATCCTGATGTATGGGCGTAAAGGGTTAAAAAAAACTGTTGTCGGTGATCGACATTTCACAACCTTAGCGGAATTCGTAATCAGGAGTTTATCAGTACCAATATGGTTCAGAAGACTTTCCTTTTAGCCACAAAGTTCTTGTCTTTTGGCCCACATTCAGATGCCCCTCTCCTCGCTCTTTAATAGTTTGTACTGATAGTCCTTCTCTTTATAATGATATCACGATGATATGATACATGGCATTACATAAATCTCAATACTTTACAAATATAACGAATCCCTAATTCACATCTACAGACAGACAAAATTATATTCGTATATCTACAAGTTATCCTAGAGCTAATTATACATGATTTGATATAATTTTTATAGGTTTAATCTTGAGAAGTAAATATTATTATACAAGATTATCATGAACCCAATGAACACGTAAAATGCTTACTTTCAGAAAAAGTAGCATAAGTTCAAAAACGAACATATTTTTGAGCATAATCCAACCGATTTGGAAAAAGCAATGTGACATTAAGGCAAACAGGCGTTAATGTAGCGGCAACGACTTCAGCTTCACAGTGCTGATTAGATCGAACTATACTGAAACAGCTGTCCACAGTTACCTTTTCTCTTTGTTAAACCGCAGTCGCCAAACCTTTTTATGGTGCTCTACGACTTGTGATGAGCCCTTGCAGTCCTTGCAGTTTAACATACCTTTATCTCCTGTATTGATAGCAATAATTGCCTTACTGAGAGGTGAGACCATCAGGATCTTGCTTTAGATGATTTTTCAATTAAAATTTCTTTTGGTTTTGATTATTTTGTGCTACGAGGTTTCGAAGTCGTTTGTCATTGCATTGTCTACATGTCTAAACCTAGACGAGTAACTGTTTGTCCTTTCGATTACACCCGGCGAGGTAAATCGACGAGACTGCTTAACTGTTTATTCTTTTGATCACACTCGGTAAGGTAAATAAACGAGACTGCGTGAAATTTTCAGAGCATTTATCATTGTGAGCAATATTGCTAGGACTACCACCTCTGTGGACTTGAAATCACTTTTCAAAGTAGCATAAGTAAGGTCAAATAAGATTTGCACGCATCTTTGCGATAATCTTTCATAAAAATAATTTTCGCACGGCCTTCTAATGTACAAACAAAGAAATTCACCCTTTTTCCCCTTAAATTGACTAGCATCTAATTTCTCCTCTCAGTGTCCCCACTAAATCAAACTTTAAGGTCAATAGACTTACGGAAATAATTCCCCACTGAAAAAATTGCTAAAGAATTTCATATTTTCAGTGCCATAAGAAATGAAAAGAGAACAGTATGAAGAATGTTCATACTAATGCTGGGGTGCAAAAGCTTTTACACAACCTGCTTCTCAGGATCTCTATTTTTCCCGCCCTCTCTCGTTCCGAGGGTGAAAAAAGGAGAGGCCCTGGTAACGAGGCAGACACAGTATCTCAGTACGTGACACTTCTCACATCCAATTTTATCAGGAACTCCAAAGAGCGAGTTATTTAAGCGTCTTGCGAAAAGACTTTACTAGTTTACGATCACTTTTGTGATCTTTTCTTTTGGGGAATGAATTCTTACGTTCTCCATGGTTACAATCTACCAACTGTAAAATGGCGGCGGAAAAAATATCTGTGGGAAGTTTTAAATTTCCTTTTCTTAATTCTACGTGGCACACGATATGTCAACTTGCATCCGTCAGGCCCGAGCCCTACTCAACACGGAGATTCATGAATCTTTGATCTGTTACAATATTTTGAGATGAAAAAAGAAAACACGAACAACATTTGAGCTATTGCGCTGTTTTTAAACAGACCTTTTCTCCCTATGAAAGCAGTAAATCGCCACCTGAATACATGTACGCAATCTTCCTATTAAGTTGCACCTAAAGTTCAGTATGACATAGTTTTTAAATTTTAGAAAAATTAATCCTTGGCTCTTCAAGTTTGCCGTCGAACAGTTTCAGTGGCGATTAGTTAGTCTGTTAGTCACATTCACTAAAAGGTTTATTATCGCCGTAAATTTGGATCTATTCTTCCCTGCTGGATGTTCGTTCTTCCTAACTCCATTAATCTGTTTACTATTCAAATAAAGAAAAATTTCGCCTTAATACCGTACCCGACTCTACTTCGGTTTGTAACATTGCTTTACTTCCACTTTCCCTTGTAAATAATTGCTTAGTCACACTCAAAACCTGCCCAGTGGGCTGAAGGAAGGAACTTTATACAGCAAATGTTATGCTTGCAACAACTCCCTTAAACAACTCGTTTACTTCGCAAGGTTTAAATATCTCTTACTCGCATCGACGTATCCATTAGTAAGTGTACGTGTATAGCAAAATCTGGGGAGATTATTAATAAAAATATAGAAACGAAAATGATTTGTATTGCACTATTGCTGTATATAAATTCAAAAGCGTTTTACATTAACTACAACAAACTACTGAACTGAACGATGTCCTGAAAATAAATTATTTTAAAGTTATTTTTAAAGATCAAGAGGCTGCTACAAGTTCTAATCGCCATGAATGAGAGTGAGCGCAGATGCGATCCCCAAGTGTTGAGAAAGAACAGTAGAATTTGTGTCGACGAGCGAAGAGTTTAACTAAGGCTGGTTTATGGGACAAAAGATCTTTCAATGAAGGGCGAGTGTAGATTGTTTAACGATTGTTTTGCTTTTATCATTAATGTTTCTTTTTTCCAGTATTCCAAAGTCTGCTTTAAATTTTAAAGAAATCCTAGAAACATCATATACAAAAAAGCCAAAAGGGGAATGAAATGGTAGGAAAGATAATCCATTTAAACGCATCTTCGCGATTGTCAAGGTAGGAGCCAATCCATCTTTAAAAAAAAAGTAATATTCCTAATGCTTAGAAATTACCTTTTTGGTTGTTTCCAATTTGGAGTTGACAATTGACAACATCACTGTAGCTCACGCCACTTATAAGGCATCAA